CTACCACCCTGCATCGCCTCGGGCTCGAAAAACATCGCCGTGGCCCTGCCGGGGGTCCCGCGGGGTGGGTTCCCCCCCCCCCCCCCCCACCCCCGGGACCCGACCCGGGAAACCGGCCACCCCCCTCCGGGGGGGGGGGGGGGGGGCAGCGGGACCCCGCACCGCCCCCGCGGCCGCTCCGGCCCCTTCCCCGGCTGCGGAGCGGGGCAGGCGCTTGGTTTTTGGGATGCGGGGCTGGGAGCACCTTACCTGCCACCCCCCACCCCCCCCGGGGGGCTGCTCCGCTTCTGGGGATGGAGGCAGCGACCTGGAAGTTGGGAAGAGCTGTAAAAGGGAGAAGGGGCTGAGTTGTCAACCTCGGGTGCAATAAGGAGGGGAAAAAAAAAAATAAAATAAAATAGCTGCCTCCATACCTGTACATCCTGAGCGCTTTTTGAGTGGGAAGGATGGCATGCACAGGGAAAATTCCCTGCTCCTTCTCTCAGCACCCACAGGGAAAATTGTTTACTTGAGGGTTTGAGCCTAGAGCCTCCTACCGCTGGGACATTTCTTAAGAGGGGATTTTGCTTGGGGGGGGGGGAATTGGTGATCTCAGCCCTTCTCCCCAGGGTAAGGAGCCCGGCTCTTAGGAATGGTGTTTGACCTTTAAGCATTTATTGGCTACTGAGGTTAAAATAAGCTTGAGATAGAAGTAAAAATAGCTTGCGGAAAGGTTAAATCAAAGGTTAAATTTGTTTTTCCTAGGAAAATTGAGGCTGATGTCCAAAAATGAAGGCTTGGAGCAAAGGATGGGAGGGTACATTTTAGGTCTGTAGGCAGGGAGACGCAATTCATTTGAAGTATTGGGGGCTGCTGATAGCATTTGACGCCAAGTTCTGAAAGTTGGTGGGTAGGTGGTCTTCAAGCAGAGGTATTTCAAATAAGGTCTGGTCTTTGCCTTTCTCTGCGTACTTGGTCCAAGGATTGGAGTGCCCATAGCTGCTGTTGATTTTCCTCTCGAGTTGCGGATGCTCAGAGACCTGCAGGACAGGGCAGCCGACTGCGAGCGAGGAGCTGTGCCCTGTGTCCCTGCCCGCTCCCTCCTGCTCGAAGGCAGGGGTGGCCCCGAGTGCCCACAATAACCTTTCTGATTACTTGTGCTCTGTCTGGGCTTGCTGAAGAAAAAAACCGGATAATTAGAGGGTAACAAGTCAGAAGAGGCAAGCACAGTTGTGAGTAGTAAAGCAAAAAAACCCAACCCCTTGTAGATGTGGAAAAAGGCAAAGCACAGGAAGTAAAGGAGGGCTTGTTTTGTTTTAAATTGAAATGAGATTAAATTTTGCCCCAGGGAGCCAAGACAGCCAGCAGAGTTGCTGTGGAGAAGAGGAGGAATGGCTCGCTCTTCACCTGGGCAGTTGAGTTTTTGCTGAGGATGCTGGAGCTGACAGCAACCTGTGGAGGAGGCGGAGGGGCAGGCGAGCCCTGGCTGGCAGGGACAGGCTCCTGCTGCCCAGAAAACGAGTGTTCCTGGGTACCAGGATCGTGCCTTTCTGGATTTCCACTTTGCAGGGTTACCAGCGAGGTTAAGAGCAGAGCAGCGCGGCTTCCCCCGAGATGCAAGGGCTGAGCACCAAGATTTGCTGGCGGTCTCTTGGCACGGCTGACGCGCATCCTTTGGGCGAAAAGTTTGTTCTTCTGTTACTGTGAAATTGGGGCTGTGCCTGCGTCGGGGGATGCTGCTGCTCTCTCAGAGCCTCCTATAGCAGCGCTTGGCTCCAAAATCGTTAATGAGAAAAGGCAATCCGACGAGGACAACCCCCCTACGGTATAAAGGCTGGGACCTTCCAGCCCTCCACCCTTCTTCTTATGCTTTCTAACAACTGGCTGGCGTTCCTAGACAGAGCAAAGAAATAGTTAAAGCGTGGAGAGCAGCCCCTCGCCTCCATCCACCCGGGCGCAGGCGATGGATGGGACAGGGGCTCAGGGACCCTGGGGGGGGTGTCTGTGGGAGCAGGGGGGGTCCGGGCTGGCCGGAGTGGTGTGCATGCCGCTGGGGGCACTATTTTCTGTTTGTGTTCCTATTTCTGGGCTGGAAGAACAAACAGGGAAGTGGTTTTTCTGCAGTCTCATTGCAGCTCACAAACAGAGCACATAATTCAGCCGGTGTTGCTCAACTGTCACGGCGTCAGAGGTGACGGCGCAGGGGGACCGAGCACGGCGCATTCCTTAACGTGCGGGTGAGCGCTGGGAAGAGGTGATGACCAAATACTTTTTTTTCTTTTGCTGCAACTTACGCAGGTTTCTGTGCCTGTTCCCTGTGGAAGCCAGCAGCGAGCACAGGCACGTTATGAATTTCTCTAGTTTGCTTGCCACGGTCCAGAACGGTTCGTTCTCGCGAACGGCCCCTGCGCAGGGTGCTGCGATGCCACCAGGAGCTCCAAAATCCCACGTGGACTTGACGTACGGAAGAGTTTTGCAGGGAGCTGGGATACGTCAGCGGATTCCCCGGAGCGCGGGGATCGTGGAGGGGGTCCGCAGAGGGTGAGGAGTTGTTTGAAGGCTGGAGGAGGCATTTTGGTTTAGCGTGCGGCTGGCCCAGGCGGCGAGGAGTGTGCCCAGGTGGGACAGGAGCTCAGGGTCTGGGCACATGCATCTCTCTGTACCTGCTGCCTTTGCTTCTCCCAGGTTGCATGGACTGGGCAAAACTGCATCTCCAAAAGGTCCTCTTCAAACCCTTCCCTGCTGGGAGGCAGGACCAGGCAGCCCGAGGCCATCATCTCAATTTTACCGCCAATCCTGCTGCTAATTTGTCCAAGGCTCTAGTGATTTACATTTGTTTAGGCTGATGGAGGGCCATCATCTTCCTTGGTTTAGCATTTATCCGCCTTTCTCAGCTTGAACAAAGGCAATGCTAAACATGTGTTAGTTTGCAAGCAATTCCGTTTTTGGGTTTCCAGGCATTAGCGCAGGGCTATGCCTGTGGATTTGAGTTGCAGACACTTCAGGGGGATGTTCATTTGTTTATAAAAGAAACCCACATCTGTTTCTGTTTGAATTTTTTAAGCAAGCATACATAGAAACCTTTCTCTTGGTTTCTGGCTCTGTAAAAGCTAGATTTTGGGCCAAGTTTGACCTAAGAGCGACCTTTTCAAAGTATTACAAATTTTTTTGGTATTTGTTTATGACTTTAATAATGATGCCATGCGGGGAATGGGTCAGTTAAAGGTGAAATTAGCTTCTAACGTAAACAAAAGATTAATTTTGGAGCAGTGTTTTGTGGAGACTTTAAATTGCTTAGTAGTACACCAAGTGAATTGCTCCTGAGAGCTTGCTCCCAGCGAGGCTTGTTGGGGGCCGGAGCTGGGGCCCTGGGAGTACCAGGGATGTGGGCAGTGGGTCCCCCCCCCCTGCCCTGGGTGCCGGAGGGGTGTCGGGAGCCTCCCCCAGCCACCATCAGACTTTATAACCCTGTGCTCCAGATGGGGAAATGGCCCAATTACCCTTCTTCTACAGTAAATTCCTCTGTTAAGTACCATGCGGTTTACTACTGTTTGGCTGCTCAAGAAGATGAGTCCTTCAGAAAACAGCATCTTCTTTGCACTGCCTGGAAGTTAACCATTTTCTGAAAGGGGCTGGTCGAGCCCTGTGGTTTTGGCCCCAAATTTCGCTCCCTTCAGGCACACGGTACCTTATGGGCTGTTGCGTGCCATCCCCTACCCAGGCAGTGGTTGCCTTTGAGTGCTGCTGTGTTCAGAGATGTCTGTACTTGGCTAGAGCCAGAATTTCATTCAGAGCAATTTAATGCAATTTGGGTTCAGAGGATGCTGTCTTGGATCCTGCCAAACAGCGGCAAAATGATTTACGGAAGTAGGGCCACTATTTTACCTGCAATGTGAACCACTTTTGTATGAATATAAATTCATGCTGTTATATAGTGAGGGCCTGAAAGTGTGTTGTGTGGGTAGGTGTAGGACAGGAGCAGGGTGCAGGGACCAAGTTCGCTTAAGGGGATGATTGGTGCATCTTCTCACATATATACATTAGAGCCAAAACCAGTACCAGCATCCTGACATCTGTGCTACGCATTCATCATATACCTTTTTCCCTCCCTTGGAAGGAGAGTGATGTCAACGACACTGTCTTGCTGTAAAGGCAAAGATGAGAAACACTGGAAATGCCACTGCTTATCAGTAGCGTTCCTTTGCTTCAGCTCAGGTGTTTCTTTTCCCTGTTGACTTTGGCTTATTTAATCTCTGTGACTAGGAACTCCAGAATCAATAAAAGCATAGCTCCAGCTTTGTGCTCCGAAAGCCTGTTCACCACTTCAGACCAGTAGGAACCAGTTTAAAAAGGTTCAGGTAGAATTTCCACTAAAAGTAAGTAAACTGCAGTTAGAGCTATTTTCAATATCATTTTCCCCAAGCAAAATCTAATGGCTACTTGGAACAAGGCTGGTTTAATAACATGTGTTTCCCCTTGAATCACTGGGGGAAAGTATTGATATTGCCATATTCTCGAGGAATGTTTTAAATCATGTTTTGACAATGCATTACCACAACACTGATAGTTAAAATGTTTACGATACTTTGTAGGATTATCCCTTATAATGGTGTGATAAAACATAGCACATATATTGTAAAATATAGGCATTGCAAGGGTTTTATATGCTTATGTGGAACTTTTGCTGTTGTTTGGGGGGAAATGGCATGCTCTAGCCTGCTATCCAGTCTGTGTGCTGCTAGTACCTGCTGCGACCGAACCCACACATAACCAGTGTTTTATTATCATTCCCACTTATCGTTTGCGGAAGCAGTAGTGTGTATGCCATGTTAACAACCTTGGACTCTTAGAAAATATCTCAGAAAGTACTAGGAAGATTTCCACGAGATTAATGTTGATTTCTGTGGGTGTATTTTAGCTCGCAGCCTGTTGGATAGTTGTCTGGTCCGTGGGTAGCCCTTTCCATCCAGAGCTCCCCAAGCCCTGTATTGGGGGCCACATTGATCAGCCCCCAGCCACATTGGTAAACTGGGGTCTTCAAAAGTTAAAATCCCTTCCCCCTTTCCTTCCCCCTTTCCTTCCCCCTTTCCTTCCCCCTTTCCTTCCCCCTTTCCTTCCCCCTTTCCTTCCCCCTTTCCTTCCCCCTTTCCTTCCCCCTTTCCACCTACTGGTACAGGTACTTGACTTTCAGCTCGGAGTGCTTGGTTCTTGAGGGGTGAGTTCAGGAGAACCTGCAGATTTCAAGCGGTTCTGGGGCTTGTTCAAAGTCACGAAGCAAATCAGCAGCCAAGCTTGAAATGGCTCTCCTGTCCTCCTAAGGTGGTACCCAACTGCTGTGGTTTTGTCTCTGAGAGGATGGAGAAGTCACAGCAGCTGGGCAGAAGCTGCTCGCTGACCCCCCCGGGAGCTGCGGTGCTGGCGGGGGGCTGCACGGCTGCGCCGAAGCAGGCAGAGCAGCCCTGGGTGATGGGACGCGTGCTTCGGGCTTGGCTAGCGCATGCTGGCTGTGTGACAGATATACCAGAAGTCTTAAAAGAAGTAGATACCGCCTGAGTGGGAAGATGAGTCAGAGGGTAAAACCCCGGTCTCATTGTACACGGGGGTCCTCTTCAGCTCCGGGATGCTCGGACTTCCCCCTGCAGACATACTGAGAGTGCGCGCAGTTTCCATTCTTCTGTCTGCGTGCCTCTCAAATTCGCAGCCCAGACGGGTGGTTCACGTCTTTTGTCCCGTCCAGCAGTGCCGTGGTCCGTGGTGGGGCATCCTCCGGTGACGATGCTCTTGCAGAGGGAGAGGGAGGCAGTTGGTAGCGAATCCCCCCGTAGGCAAATCGCCATGCAGAGCTGAGTGATGAAAGTGTACTCGCTGTACCGCCTCGGAGTGGGGAAAGCTGGTGGAGAGACACCGATACCCTTAAAGTTTTTTAAAAAAGCCCTGTGAGGATTGTTCTCTTCCTTTTTTTAAGCCCCTGGGTAGTTGTCTGTCCTGAGGGTAAGTACTGGCTCGTGCTGGGATAACACGGCGTGCGGATGTTCAGAGATAGCAGTGATTTGGTGCTGAGATGGGTTTCCTAGGCATTAAGTGTAATGTTCAATTTCTTTTGTTACAGATGGAAGAAAAACGACGCAAGTACTCGATCAGCAGTGATAACTCAGACACCACTGACAGTAAGACCTTTAATTCAAGGCTTTGAACGAGATAACTAAGCAATTCACCTCCAGCAGGGAAAACGCTTGAATAATTACTTTGCAAAGAGTGGAGGATACTGCATTTACTGGGAAGTGTCTGCACAATGAACTGTGCGCGGGGCTGGGTCTGTCAGAAATGCAGCAACAAGCTGATACCAATTTAAACGCCCGGCTGTGGCTCCTCTTAACTGATGAGAGTGTCTCCCTCCTGTGAGGAGTCTGGGCGAGGGAGAGCTGTTGATTGCAAATCTGCTAACGAAGCAAACACCCTTTGTAGACAAGTTGTCCTTTCCTGTGAGCTGCAGCCTGAGACTAGTTAGCTCTTGACTGAGTTGTACTGGGGGAAAGGGAAGTTTTTACTGGAGTCAGGGTAAAACCAGAGCCGCCTTGTTCCCTTCTTGCGAGCTGAAGAGTGACGTGGGAAAAGGGATAAGGCTCAAGCCAGCAAAGCTTGCAAGCCCACGCTTGCTTTTCAACATCTACCTCACTTCATCCTCATTGAGGAAAGCACAGAAGCATGTGCTCAACAATAAACATGTGCAAGTGTGCTGAATTTTGGCTATAAATAGAGCGCTTTCCTCTCCCACTTATTCCAGGGTTTCACCCACTGCAGACATACCACAGTGCCTTAGTGTTCAGTACCCCCGAGGCACTAGTCTAATCCCTTGTCTGGGCTCCGGAGTTTCCTACTAGTTGCTCTTGGTTTCTTACGAATGTCACAGTAATTTCATCTGGGCCGTGCTGGGAATTTGCTCTCCACACTTTACAGGATCTGCCTGCTGGATATCCGAGAACGAAAGGGCCTTTTGCTAAAGACACTAAACTTCTGGGCCTTTTCCTAACAGGATGATGGGGAGATTACAGGGGGTTATGGAATGGCTGATCTTGCTGGGTTTGGCTGCTGTTCCCACAGCTTTAGCCAAAAAAATTGTCAGCGTGAGCGGAGTTTGCACCACTGCTGCCGATGGGAACCTGCTGTTTGGCTGCTGGAGGGGACCCCCGTTCTGCTGGAGCCCTGGGGGGGTCTGGGGGCTGAGCTGTGCCTATGGAAAGCGTTTCAGGCTCTGTCAACACTGCTGGCTTCTCGTAAAATAAAACATCTCTATCTCAGAAAGGGGTTTGTTTTGGAAGCCGTGCTCCAAACTTCCCGTCTCCTAATCCCCAGATGCTCAAAGGCTTACCAAGCCGAGCCGCGCTCGCTGGCTTCTCTGCCTTTCGGGGGTAAGGCATCTTTAATCACGGTATTAAACGACATGGCCTTATCTCTGTTGGGTTTGGATATTTATGCTGCAGGTGATATCTAAGCTGTTGACAAATGCTCTCCTGCAGGATAATTGTAAACAAAGTGATGACCTTCTTTTTTATGCCTCTGCCAGGGAAGGATGGTAGTGGCATGTTATCTAAGTCTACACACTTGTAGCACCACATTGTAGCTTGAGAAGAGGGGGCAAGGTGGAAAGTAGTGACTCGATCTCTCAGTGTAAACTGCGGATCTGCTGCTGCAATGTTTTGAGCAGCTTGCCGAATAAAGCGGCGTTTCCCGGCGGCTGCAGCGTAGGGACTTCTGCTGTAGGCTTTGCCTACGCAGTCCTGTTACGTACTGAAACGATAAAAAAAAATGCATTTGCGTGGAGCCCACTTGAATGACACCTAGCCTGACACTGCAGTCAGAAAAATAGCTGTCCTTCGGGAATGACTGATGCCATCAGACCTGGTCTTGATTTTACGAAGTATAAGAAAGGGGCTTTATCAAGTAAAAGAGTGCAAGGTGAACTAGTGCCTCTTCCCCTGCAAGCAAAATCAGGCATCTGAGATTTATCTGGGCTCATGAGGGACTCAACTGCCTGAGCTGGCAGAGGGAGGCACATTTCCCAGCACGGTAGTCCTGCACCAGGGACAGCCCTGGTCCCTTGTGCCAGCTCAGCTCCTGGCCAGAGCCCCTCCTGAAGTCCTTGCGTGCATGGCTCCATCGTGTTTGGCAGTTGCTTATGTGCACAGTGGTGTTTCCTCTTATTCAGCCATCCAAGGATAAAATCAGTGTTAAATAGGCCTATCGATAGTGAATTTGTTGCACCCTGACAAAAGCATTTTTATACATTGGAACCTGGAGGAGTCCTGCTATGCAGAAGACCCAACTGTCATCATTATTTTAAAAAGATTCCAATAATTAGTTTATTGTTTATTATTACCAAATACATACAGCTTTTTTTTTTTTTTTTTAAGTGATAGTAACACGTACAGGTTGGAAATAGAGATTAATAACATAATGGTCCCAGCACATTTCAGGTGTTAGCTTCCCTTGCCTTGTGGAGGTGGTAGTGGTGATGCTGATACTGCTCCAGTCGGGATGATGAGAGTCCGTTCGTAATACTCCCAGAGTAAAGTAATCCCAAAGCAAATGCTGTCTTACTACTGAAAAGTGTAAAGTGCATTCACTCGATGTGTCCTGTTGCGTGGTTCCCACTAGATGCTGAACTGCACACAGGCGTGGAAATTACTAGTCCTGGTGTGGGCAGAAGAGTTTCACCCAACTTGGTCAGTATTTTTGACCAGGGGGTCTGAAGTCCTCGAGCAGTTCAGATGCTTGTCTTTAAGCATCCTTGTTAGAAATTTTTTAACCTTACCTCCTTAATTCCTGATCCCAATAGATTCCTGATTCCAGGAATGAGCCCTGGCTCATTCCCTCTTAGAAGCTGTTCTTTCTTGTGACTTTGGGTGTCTCATTTCTGATGTCTGCATTTGAAAACAGTGTTTTTAAATTTCAGAGGCCTCTGTTTCATCTATAGCAGCAGGAAAGTGATGTTCATCTATTTTGGCCAAGTACCCTGGGACGTGCACAAAAATAGTGCCATGTCAAGGTATTACTGCCTCTTAGCGTTGACCCAAAGTGTTAGTTGAGGCTGTAGTAGCAGCAGTGGGGCTGGTGACAAAGACACGGAAAAAACTTTGTCTCTTTTCCAGGTAACCTGTCTCTGTTGCCTCGTTGCAGGTCACACCACGTCCGCCTCCAGATGCTCCAAAATTCCGAATACCAAATCCACCTGGTCACGGCAGAAGGAGAAGAAGCCCTCTGAGGTAGGTGGGCTTTTAGGCTTTTGCCAAAGGAGAGCTTTCCCCCCGGGGCCGTGCTTGCCCAGATGTGGTGGCCACCAGCGTGCCCACGGCTGGCCGTGGCCGGTGGGTGCCAGGACAGGGCAATCCTCCAAGAAGCCAGAGCCCATGGTGCAGAGCCAGCCTCAGCCTCGTGCTCGGCTCTGCTGGGAGGGAGCAGGCGGAGGTACCCGGTGGGCATCTCTGATGAAGGGTGGGGGGTCCTTGTGCCCACTCCATCCCTGTTGATGGAAGTGGGGAGAGGTTGTGTTTGGTGGCATTGGGAGGTCCTGCAGCATCGGGGTGGCTACCTGCTGAGGTTCCCTTGTTTTGGGTGCCTGCCTGGATGCCCTTTCGTTAATGGCACGGGTCATAGCGCTGATGCCAGGCGAGGGTGGCTTGCTGGCATGGAGGCTTCTCCCCGTGAATAAGTGGGAGGTACGGAGAGCCGTGAAATGAGAGACAGCACAGCTGAGTTGCAGATTATGTTGTGTTGGTTTCCTCCTGTCGCGGGCCTCAAGGGCGTTAAGCTGAGACCCTCGGTGTCTGACCTTGCTGCAGGGTTTTCCATCGCTCCTAGCTGGTACGGGCAGCGCTGCCCACCCCGGGGGGGGACATTGCCCAGGTTGCCCCTGCCCGCTCTGCAGTGCAGGGTCTGGGATGAGAGGTGTTTCCCGAGGACCGTGCTGGAAGGTACGATGCTCTGCCCCGTTTTCCCTCACGTGCTTTGGATACGTTTCCACTAGACGTGGAAACTATACCAGGCATGAGCTGCTGTTGTAGCAACCGCAGGGTTTAGTGGTGGTCGTCTTCATTTCAAGAGCAGCGTGAGCGAAGCCAGAGGGACATTGTTCTCACATTCCCTTTCCTCTGGACCGGGGTCCGGAGTCAAACGGAGCTAGGTTTAGAAGCAGGTGAAGCTGGCATGGCCAATGCTTGCTCGCAGGCTGTAAACTCCTTCCCAAGCCCCCACGTTACGCCTTGCCTGAGGCTGTGGCCCAGTAAGCACAAACCTCTCTTAACATCCCCCCTTTGCGTCAAGCTGAGTAGAGATTTTGAGGTTTTCCTGTGGTCACTGCCTGAATTACAGCTGCACTTAGTTCTTACCGCTCTGACAGATTTACATCGATATATCTAACGTGTTGGCGGTGGACAGAAGCTTAAAAAGTCCGAGCTGTTTGTGCCTTGGGTAAAGAGAGGGGCTGAAAAGCTGTTATTACCGGCTGAGGTAATTGGAAACACTCCAGTGAGCAAAGACCAGGGGTGCAGATGTCACTGGCTGCTGACAAGGCTGTCAGAAAGTTGTGCATTAGGGCTGGTAATGTCATTTTTTGCTTGTAGATCTGTCTCTTGAAATGGGCAAGGGGGTGTATTCTGTGAGCTGAATCCCCCATTGAAAAATTGAACCATTTAGGGCATCTCCTCCTCCTGGGACACCGTTACTCCCTCTCTGAAATAACTGCCCATCCCTGTGCCCAGTGCGTCCGTAAAGGCATCAGATTAGCCGTGTAGGTGTCTTCAGGAGTCCCGCGGAGATGCCTGGCGTTAGACCTGGTTAGATGCACGAGGATGTGACTCATGCGTCACCAACAGTGCCATACGTGCCACCCTGTAAAATCCTCCTCCGAGAGAGCCTGTGTCGGGAGATCTCTTTCTGCATCACTGGTACAGACACACTTTTGTCTTTAATACGAATTGGCTTTATCAGCCAGCTAGGAGTTTACCTGGCTGTTAATGAAGTTACTGGATATAAGTCCAAGACTCTAAGTGAAAATGCTTCTGCACTTGATGAAGGATGGTCAGACCCGGATCCAAGTTTTGCCGCTCTACAACAGCTGGAGCGAAAACTAGATCTTAGTCCACGGCACCCAGGGAGACGTCAGATGTGGGGCTTGCAGAGGCCAGGCTCATCCCTCTGCTTCATGCTCTGTTATGTCCAGAGGATGGTTCTCAGTGAAATGTAGCTCTGGAACAAATAAAGTGGAGCAAAAGCTTAACAGTGCCCAGCTTAGCAACAGTTGGGACAGAAAGTGGACCCCGGTGGCATATCTGAACTGAAACTCCGGGGGAATTCGGGGAGGCGATGTGTAATTACTCAAGCTGGAGTTTGGCCAGGATGCTCAAGCTGACAAACCATCTTTTACAAAAGCGTGGTGGGAACGTGAGCAGATGAGAGCGGTCCAGATCTCAGCTTTAGTCCCCGTACCCTGCATCTCCCCCGCGGCTGCTGGCATCCAGCTCTGCTTGAATTCAGCTGAAACCCAGGAGTCAGGAGAGTGTGTCCCTGGGGTTGGGCGCAGGATTGCCCGCACGGCAGGTCTGAGACCCGTAGCGGTGTGTGGTCATGGTTTGGAGGTCACTCCGGTGAGCGCCGGTTTACGGATTTCCTCTACGACAACATCTTCCAAACTTTTCCACGAGTGACCCAACTTTGCTCTTGCCCTGAGCACTGGTGAACCCGTCTGGTCCATGTGTGGGATCCACTGCCCGTCATCTGTGAAATGCTGTGGAGTTTGGCATATCCCATGGGATTTCTCACAAGGAGCCCTGGAGGATTTCAGGTGCAGACTGGGATGGGCATCGTGTCCCGCTGGAGCAAGTACTGAGAAGTGTAAAACAAACCACGCCACTGTCAAACTACTTCACACGAAATAGTGAAGTACCTTTCTCTTTGCTACCCCGTTGAGGATGGAAACCACAGGAGGGTAACTGGGAGAGCACAATGAATGTCTTATCAGATGTTGAACCCCCCAGGGCAGTCTGCCCCAGACTTTTTGGGGCTGGACAAGCCTTTTCAAACAGTAACTCAAACTCCAGGTTGACACATGGCTTGTAGTTCCATCAAGAGCGGAGCTGCTGTCCAGGTGCAGAGGGTTCGGGCACGTCCCGAGGGGCAGCGATGCTGGAGGACGGGCTGGGGGGAGCGGGGGGGTTTGTGTGCGTGGGGAACCACTGAGCTCTCCTGCCCCTCTCAAAGTCACGTCCCCGATTCTCTGCGAGCTGCCGTCCGCATTCCCCCTGACAACCCGAGCAGGAGATAAAAAAATTAAAAGCATTAGTGTTACATAGTCATTAGCCAGGTCAGGGGGTGATGTTTGTTATGAAAGACTCTGTGAGAAGGGATTAACTATACACATTAAAAACCACCCTATACAAGGCATCTGGAAAAACAAGCTTCTTAACATGGAAAAGTACTGAGCTGTTTGTAAACATCCGCGAAGGGGGCCATTGCCAGGGAGGGCGATTATATTTATCTGTGCCTGTCACGGGGCTCTGCCCGGGCTCTTGCCTGACGTGTCCCAGGCACCAGGCCTCCGTCTGGGCTGTCTCCCTTGCAGAGGTGACAGTTGTCCTCCCCTGCCCCACGTCTGGGCAGCAGAGACCTCGGGGCAGAGCCCCGGCGCGATGCCGATGGTTCTCCGGGCATGGGCACGGCTCTCCTGCCCTGCCTTTGCCTGTAGGCAGGGGATGGACGTGGGCAGCCGCCAGCAGCTTCGTGCATCCGCGGTGATAGCAGTCTACCAATCTGGTCATTCTAATTAATCTCATTAGAGCTCGTTGTGTCTCTGAGCCTGGCTTCAAACGGAGCGGGGTGGCCGGTACCCATCCTCGGGTGCTGCCGGCCGAGGAGATGCTGGTCGGTATGGAGGGAGGGGGATGCTCGCTCAGGTCCTCCCTGTCTTGGATGCTGAATCTGCCGCGGGGAATAAGATGTGCCTGAAGTACGGATTTCTCTTTCTTTTAGTGGCGTATTGGTGCAATCCTGCCCCCAGCTATAGCGCTGCTGGGGATACGAGTGCGAGCCTTGCTGGTTAGGCTGCAGTCATCAAGCCCTCTCTCCTGTTTCTGACAGGGAACAGTTGTCAGTGTCTAAGGAGAGAATATAAGAACAAGGCAAGGGTGTAATGATAGTCGCCGGTTCTATCCGCCAGCTCCCAGCCATCAGTGGCCTGGGGACTCCCTCGGATGCTGCCTCTGAGTCACTGCCTTAGCCGGTGCGTTAGTCATTAGCTCCTGAACTATTTGGGATCCGAAACACTACCCTGCAATGAGTTAACACTGCTAGGATATATTGTAGGAGAAAAAAACTAAAAACCTGCTTTTTTGTGCAAACCACCTGCCTGACACCCCTCCAGCCGTCCCTTTTCTAAGCCGACGAGCCCCGCGCAGTCTCGGCTCTCCTCTGCGGGTGCTGCTCATCTCACCGGACATCCTCATCGCCCTTCTCCTTCGGTCCAGACCTTCTGGAGACCAGGGGACCGCAGCTGCAGGCAGGGTTCAAGATGAAGGGGAAACCACAAATTTATACAGTTTACATTATTTTGTGCTTGCCTTGTTTAGATACTACTTCCGTGTTTTGAAAGATCTCTTTTTATATCTCTTTACAAGGATTTAACCCTTTTAACAAACATCCTCATTGTTTCCCTTCTAAAAAGTAATTCTTAGTACATTAGATCTTGGTTTTTTTCCCTGCGATGGGTATGTAATGGCCCAGTGCAATGTGAATTTAGTCCCTGCGCTCTCCATGCTTGAAGAAGGGCTTTTATAAATATGGCCAAGCAAGACTGGACATGCTTTTACTGGGCTGGATGAGGAGAAAATCCGTCTCTGTTGAAAGGTTTGACTGCGGTGGCTTTGTCACTTCTCCCAGGCCGGCGTGGGGATAACAGATTAATATCACTGTCTTCTGAATGCTGAGAAGGGCCAGACAAAAATGCTTCTTGTTCCTATTTTAAATTCTGTTGTTCATTGAATCTTTAACATTCAGCATTTCGAGAGGAAACAAGACTAGATAAAGAGATAGCAGGCTGGCTCCCAAATGAACACGAGAGTAAGTATTTTTTTCCCCACAGGCAGATAATATCACTGCTTACAAATACACACCAGGCATTGCTGCATTTTGGAGCCTTGCTACTGAATATTGCCACTCTTCTCGTTTCGGAAAGGGCTGGAAAAATGTGATATAACGGCAGGGAAACAGGGCT